TTGTAAATATAAAAATTAGTATTTTTTTTTAGCCAAAAGCTTTTATCTAATCTGAATTAAGAGAGATGTAACAAAGAAATTCAAAGATGCATTGGAATAGTGAAAAAACGCCTGACTTTTCTTCCAGTTTTGCTGTTTCAGTTCTTTGCTGGCTTGTGTGAATACACACACCTGACAGATGAACATGCACCTCACCTGCTTCTGATGATCAAAAAATTGTCAAAACTGCAAACAGACTAAACAGAAACTAGATTCAGGGGCAAATGAAACTGAATGTTTCCAAATGCAAACTTTGGCAATTGTCGAAAAAGAAAAAAATGTCACAAGTTGGTCACACTGCTAATAAGTATAGCATGCATGTTGGTCAGGTGGCCAACTGGGTAATGCACACACACTGACTGCTGCCCATTGTTGTTGTGTGTCCATATGCACAGAGCTCAGCGTTATAAAAACTAAAAATATTAAGAAACAGGAAAAATTTGTTAGAAACAAAGACACGCGTGTTGAACTGCTATATAATATCAATCCTCCTATATGGCATTGAATACTGGACAAGTTCCTTATAGATGAAGATGCTTGAGACGACAACAAAGATGTAGTTCTACAGAAGGATGCTGAGAATATCATGGATGGAAGATGTGAGTGATGAGGATGTTTTAAGGAAAATGAAAACAAAAAAGGCACTTAGAATCAGAAAGAAACAATTAAAATTTCTGGGACACATGAGGAAAGAAGGCTTGGAGTATTTGACACTCACAGAATATATTGAGGGTAAGAGGAGGGAAACAGCAAGTAACCAACCTAATGAGATTGTGTGAATGGTTTGATAGTAGAATAGGGACTGGAAGGTATAGTAAGGAGACAAATATTACTTAGAGATATATGAAAGATAAGAAATTTCAGAGAGCCATGATTGCCCATATTCTGAAGTGACATGGCATATAAAGGAAGAGGTCAGGATTTAATATCAAATAAATCTTCATTAATCTATATAAATTATGTACAAAGTATGACAAATTTAAGTCACAGAATAGCCATGTGAAAGCAAAATTTACTTACTTGGTCAGTATTGGTTGTTGTCACTGTCATAGTACTCTTTGTGAAGCTGTTCTCTTTTGGGAAAACATTTTGGAGAATTTTTTTCTGGAATATTTTCAAAAATGTAGTCACATATTGCTGGGTGTAAGGGATGTCAACAAATCATCTTGAAAACAAAGTGTTTCATCACCAGTAATGATCCTGTCAAACATCTCTGCATTATGAGATGAAATATGAAACCAATAATGTTTCTGGTCATCAATCAGGATTCAAGAAATTTTTCTCATTTCCAAATCCTCTGGGAGAATTCATGTTCAGTTCTGTTGTCAGTTGCACATATAAATCTTTGATCTGAGCATAAATGAGGTTTATGTTCACATTTTTTTATCTATTTTTTGTGTTTTTTGGCTGCCTACTGCACATCTCACCCCTTCCTTGAAGCACCTGTGCCACTCAAAAAACACTTCATTTCCTCATAGTATGTTCACCATAAGCCATTTTTAATAGAGCTAACCTTTCATTAGCCCTTTTATCAATTTTCACATAAAATTTGATGTTAATCTGTTGCTTAAGAGTTCTTTCACTCATTTTCCTTGAACAGTATAACACGAACATCTACCATTTCCTTTACTACTTAGCAATAAAGGGCTCATGGTCTCTCAAGAAAGTGGAAAATGAAACATATTTAGTGATGTTCAGGTACAAATACCTACTTGACTCATTATCTTAGTGACACATTGCAGTCATTCTGGAAATTAAATTGTGAACCTTGTTTATATATTGAAAGTATAGAACATTTTTTCTACCTTTGGCTTTGGGAAAAATTTTGAGCAAGGCGAGTTCCTAATGGTAATTGGTGTGGTTTTTTGAGGCTTTCTATTAGTTGGGTATAGATGACTTTATTTATATAGTGTGCAATTCATATTAAATCAAAAGGTTTTATGAGTGGAAATATAAGTAAAATAGAAAACAATACCATGGGTTGATGCAAGATGATGCCTATAAGAATTGCCTTAGACAGACAAAATAGTTTGGAAGCTGTTGATGGCCGTACGGCAGACATCATCATGACTGAGGATTTGAGCACATTGACTTGGTTCAAACTGTTGATCACGCCAGATTATGCGCTCTCTTTCAGAGACTGTAACTAAGGTCCGCTCAACATAGTTGCAGTATAAAGCACAGGCTGGCTCTGTGAACAAACCCAAATATGCTTGAGCAGGGATCTGTAACAGAAATTGGCTAGCCACCTTAGCAGATGGGTGTGCTTGGAAACCAGTATCTGGCTATTATAAGTAAAAAGAAAACCTTTTCCTCCTCTTTGAACTTTGAGGGTTACTTATTATTCTGATGGAAAATTTGCACCCAGAAAAAATATTTTGTCTTCGCAATTATTTTGTAGTTTCATGAATGTCTTTGAATTTTATACTTTAAGTTCAAGCCACTGAGGTAGGAATGATTTTACAAGTCTCAAATAAAATAACTAATCTGATGTAAAATTTATAAAGGAATAAACTTCATTAATGTTTTAGACCTTGTATTTTCTATGTGATCAAGTTTGTCAAAATAAATCACAAGTATTTTCATATTTTAGTAAATTGATTTTGATTTATAGACTGACCAACCAATCACTGATTGGCAATTGAGAATGTCTTTAATTTTAGCACAGTAAAATCAAATTATTATAGTTGGTATCGATAAGAAAGCTGAAGATTAATTTCATAGTTCCTGATGATGCTTGTCATTGGATTTTTAAAATTTGTATCAATTTTTTTAATTTTAAAAATTCATTGAGAGATGAGTTTTCTAATTGATGTTCATGAGTCCATAAATAATAAACTAGAATCATTGCATAGATCATGTGTCCCCTCCCCCACACTTCTTTTTGCATTCATTTTCAATGGAAAACTAATGAACAAAAATGTCAGTTTAGCAACATTTTTTTCTTTCTTTTTACTCCATTGATTTATTTCCAGTCTCATTATCACAGGAGCCTGTGCAAATAGGCTTCTTATACCAGAGAGAATAGTCAACACCCAAATGCTATGACTCATCAATCATTCCAATACATAATACGAAGTGCAGAGAAGGCTTTTTAACTAGGCTACTAGATTAACTTCCAAATGTCAGTAAGGACAAACAACAGACTTTTTTTTTCTCCACTGACCATGTCCACTCTGTATTGTACAATTAAGCTCTTATTTTCAGTACAATAAATGGAGAATGCCGTAAAAGAATTTTTCTATTGCCTTTGTTCAATACTAATATTTTTATGTCTCTCTAACTGGAAAAACTTTAATTCCACTTTTTCTGGACTTTCTGCCATGCCACTTACATAGTAGCAAACTACCCACATTCCCTCTGTATCCAATCAAACTGCTTCTTCCTGCAAAGCACTGCTCTTTTGAATCAATCCCAAGAGGATATTTCCTCAATCACTACAATCTTAACCTGTTCAAGGCTAGGGTTGACCATTATCTTCCGCTCCTCTCTACACAAATTGCCTCCTAATGTAAACCCTCTACCTTGAGTAGTTAGCGAATTTTATTAAGTTTTTGAAAATAGCTGAATTTATTGAAGGTCTAACTGAGCATTGTTGGTTTTGGATTTCTACCTCGAAATTACTTCCTTTTTATATTGAAGTTATAAAATGGATTTTATGTGTTTTGTTATCAGTACTGTGTCCTATAGCTTTGGGTGGCAACCAGTCTAGGAGTAGGACAACTCTGAATTCAAAAACTGGACGATGAAGTGGTCGGCAACTAAACTAGTTCCCCCACCAAACAATGTTTTGCTGATGAGAGTAAGTGGAACCCCAGAAGCACAAAAAGAGCTGTTAAAAGGCAGATGAATGTCTCAAAGTCAGTGCCCCCCAAATACGAGTTAAATAGCACCAACCACCTGCAATTGGTCAAGTGTGATGAGTATGGCAGTACTCCTGAAGACATGGTCAATCAGGGAGGGGTTCCTCCAACAGGAGTGAGAGGGTCCCGGATTTGGATTATCTGTATATATTCATATGGATGAAAAACATTTTTATTTATAATAATAATGCAAATATTAGTTGCTTCCTTATTTGGAAAAAATTGGCATTTATTGACTTAATGGATAGTGCTAATTTCAGTTGAAATCTTTAAAATCTTTGTATTAAAATAATTTTTTAGGAAAATAGTCTTCTCAAGTCCAGTAGAAGTTATTGTACCTTTCAGTATTAATGGGGTTTTCATTCCTAACCTTTTATTTGAAGTAGTGTGAGAATGTTGACATCTTCATTGTGTTATTATTTTCTCTTTGAGTTACATATGATATGCACTTTAATTGTTGCTGGTGTTGAAACACCAGCAACAATTAAAGTTAAGTGGTTTCTGTTATTTGATACAGTTCTTTATTTGTGATTATGTAGCACCAATCCATGAGGTTTAAAGAAAGATGGTCCTCTCTAATCCCTACAGGGTTCATTTGCTCAAAGCTATTTATAATCACTGATCTAAGACAGTGATTATATATAGTTGTCAGTTTAAGCATTTCTGAATGAGTTTAGTGACATCCATATGAAAGTATAAATCTGATGAAGCTATTTAAGAACATGACTTGAGTTCTTAGGTTAATATTTTGGATTTGTAGCAATTTGTGATGTTGGATAAAACTACCCTTAGTGCAGCTTATTCTATGTTCAGTTTCCGTATCTCCTATACCAAATTTGTTATAACTGATCTATACACTGAAATATTTGAAATGTTTAGTATTTGATTAGTTGTTTACATAAAATTTTGATTGCTTAAAAAATTGTATTCATCAATGTATTTCTGATATTTAAATATATTTCTGGATATAGCCCATAACTTGAAGAGATCTGCTGTTTTTGATAAGATGTATTGGAAATTATTTTTTAAATTACAGCAAGATTTTTCAATTCATTATTTTATAGTAATAATTGCAATTGTTTTTTTGTTTTTTTATAGAATGCTATAACACCCTCTTCATTGATTTGGTTGTGATAACTAAGACAAAAGTTGAGAAACAATTAATCTGGGAGAGACTGATACAACAACATGGAGTGCTCCAAATCATCCAAAGTAAGTCTCCTTTGCTTATTGTTTAATATGAGATTTTGTTTGATTTAAAAAGGTTTTGTCATTTAGAAAAGATGAAAATAAAATGTTAATGATATATATATTAATATATATGTGAATATAAATAGTAATTTATAACAGATGATGCTGATATTTTTATTTGGTTAAAATAATATTTACATATTTAGAAAAAATGTATTTCTTTAAAAAAATAAGAATGAATACCTATTTTAGTTATATATACCTACACGCATACACATAATGGTGAAATTGAATTCTTTCAGCTGCTGTATTATGACAATAAAAATGCATTTAGCACAATTCCATAACCATTCTTACATTACATATGCATTGTAATGTTGAAATTTACAATATGTAGTATCACAGAAAGTCTTGATTCATCTATAAAGCAAAGGTTTAAAACCAGGTTCTTCCAAAAATTCTTTCTGAAAGTGAAAGATATGTTATGGATATATTTGATTTGCCAGAAAGCTTAAAGATTTAAGATTAAAGTAGATCAGATCAAATGAGTGGATGCAAAAAAAAGTTTAAAAAAAAAAAAAAAAAAGAGCAAAAGTAACTATAGAAATTCCTAATATAGAACAAATATCACCCACAGGGAACTAAAATTGGATGTGTTACAAAGAAACTTCATCAATTCGGTACTTGGAATACACCTTATATTTGTTTTATTTTCTGTTTAATTGAAAAGAAATCAATCCCGAGGCCAAAATGGTGATAACATTTCTATTCCTAAAACCAGAAATAATCCAAAGTCCCTGTGAGCATTTACATCAATACCACTTTCTGAATCAGGGTTATTCTAAAATGTTTCATAGCTTTTGTATAATCTATCAACTTCAAACAAAAGAAACTGTCTAGAAAAATCCTTTATAATGTGGAAGAATGTACACCAGAATATTCATTCAACATATGGATGAGAAAACACCAAAAGATTTGGTATCTGTAAAAACCATGGAAATATCGAGAAACTGATCACTTGTCTCACATTTCTATGAGGATATATAACCACTATCATTTATAGGTATCAAGTTTAGGAAATAGCAAATATAAAAAAGCTACTCTAAATAATCCTACAAGTAAGCCTATCTTTAAACAAAATCTGACTGCTTCTTCATGAACATAGATATAATATATGATAAAAAAAACTGAAGCACATACATTTACAGATTTCTTAATCTGTAGATAACTTCATGTGGTCTCCAGATGTTTCTGTCTGGAACACACACTTAAAAATCATAAGCCTTATTTTTTCTTTTCCTTTAAATGTTTTCAATAGATTTATGTAGCTCTTAGCTTTTGTAAAATGAATAAAAAGCCTTATTAGCTATAACTAAGAGCTTTCCTTTTTTTTTCTTTCTGAAAAAGCACTTTTTCTTAGACCTGAGGAAGAGTGTAGATTATTTTTTAGATGCTGAACATTAACATATCCTTTTAGAGTGGATCTTTTTTCACCCTGTGATCAAAGAACAATGATTGGTAGCATTTTTGTGTTTGATTCAGCAAAAGATACCAAACTTAATAAAGAAAAACTGGGTTGGGATGATTCTGTCCCAAGACAGCTTTAGTTTTTAATTTGTTTATGATATGGATGTCATCTGTAGAGTGAGTGACTAGAATTAAATGTAAATAAATAGCAGAACTGCCCAACAAACAGAATTGACAAAGTTTGCAAGAAGCAATAATAAGAAAAATGAAAGAAAAGAACAGGGAAAAAATAATATAAAGCAAGCAAGCAATATATGCAGGGCAATTTAACAGTAATATGACAAAGCAACAGTAATATGGCAAAAAGTTCCCAAACTAAGAATTGGGGTTGACACACACAGAAGAGCAAATTCAGACAAATGAATGTAGCATCCTGACTTCAAGACAGGACAGACTGGAAATGGGTCATTTGAAACTGAGAACTGGCCTATTTTATTGGCTAAGAAGAAATCCCAGCATGCATTTGTGTGTTTCCGCCTATAAAATCGGGAGGGGGGAAAGTGTTTTGCAGTCATTCCTAGTTAATATTGGAACCAACAGCATCATTATATTAATCTGTGGTTGCTTTTTTTATTTTGAATTGGCAAAATTGAGACCATTTTAGATGGCAATGATTTCTGTAAATGAACCTATGACATATCAGAAAATGCTGATTTATTATTTAAATTTTTTCTCCAATTACTCAAATAATTGGTGTGCAACTTCATTAAGTTAGGATAGATACATTAATGCATTAGTAAACATTCAACAGAATCTGCTTGCAGAAATAGCTTCTCTTCCAATGTATGATGTTCCTTTTATTTGCCAGAATGGTGTTGACAGACCATAAAAGTTTCTTTGGGAATATAAACACCAAAGAAGACAAAATCTTCAAATGTTTTCTTTCTTTAGCTTTGATTTGGCAGTTGTAAGCAGTTGGATTGAAATTGGCAAAATGTGAATTTGACAGGTTTTAGATATTGTTTATGCTTTCTAGTAAAGAAAAAGTTGAATGCTTTTTTTTGGCATTCTTTATTCAGCTTTTTTTTTTTTTATTATTTTAATTGGTATCAACCCATGCAAGGCAGTAAAGCCACCAAAAACCAGGGGTTACAGGATGTGGAAGAATTAGGAACATAAATATTAATAATATGCAGAAAGAGAAAAATGTAATCTGGAGGACAGTAGATAGCAATTGACATTGCATTTAAATTTTTGCTGATTAAAGTTGGCTGGAAATCCTGGAGCCAGAAGGGAGTTCCGCAAGTGAGAACTGTGAGTAAAGAAACTGTTAGCATAGAACTTATGGCGACATCTAGCCAGCTCAACTGTAAATTGATAGGATTTCAATGCCACTCTAGTATTGTGCTTAAATTCAAAATGTCTAGGTACCATATTGAAGAGCTCATCTAAACAATTACCATGAAAGTATTTATAGAAAAGGCACAAAGAGGCAACCTATGGCAGTAGGAAAGTGACTGAAGCAGAGTTGCCAGATTGTGACTAATAATATTGCTGATTCTTCTTTGGATTTTATCAAGGAGCTCCAGGTAAATAGCAGGGGCACTGGACTATATGTGGCAGCAATATTTTAAGCATGGATGAATGGTAAACTTATAGATATATATGATAGATTCTGGAGAGAAAATTTACAGAGAATGTTTCATTGGAAATAGATCCCTCAAATGTCTAAGAACCCCAAATGGATTTATATTCAAAAAGATTACAGTCAGCCAATATATTAAAATAGATTTAAACTTCTGAGGTAGATCTTTCTCTACATTTATTTATTTATTTATTTTTAGATAAGGTGATTGATTCATGAACTACTGAAGGATGGGGCTTACAAACATGTGTAGATGATGTAATAGTAGTAAGTGGTAGTGTTGCAAGGATGCAATTCTTGTATGTTATCTATAATGCTTGTGTTAATGGGATTAATGTATTGTTGCCAGGAGTTATAAACATCACATTCATTACATACGTATGAATAGAATTGTTTCACAGTTTGTCTCATTAGTTTCGTACAAATGCACTGTTAGTGCATGTAATTTGTTGTTCATTGATAACATAATGTACATTTCTCAGTGCTAACTTTGTATTAGCTTGTGGTGGAATTTAATCTACTCTGGTGATGAAAACTGAATTCCCTTGGCAAATGGAAAAGCGCAGATGTGATAAATTCTAGGTCAAGAAAACAGTATCACTCTGTCAGTATTTGCACACCAAGTAATGTTGACATGACTATCTCATACTGACTTAATTATAAAATTTGACAGAAATTTTATCAACTAGAGTAAGTTTTATCTTCATTTAAAAATCTGAATAAATCTAATTCATCTTAATGAGAAGTGAACAAAATTAACCAAACCAATTTAACAAAACTGAAAATACTTCATTTTTTTTTTAATCTGTCATGGCTAGACAGTGAGATTGTGAGCAAATGAGAGTTTAAAAGCAATTACATAGCCTTGTGGGTGGTGAATTATTTTCTGCATACAACAACCCTTATCCCACAGATGAAACCTTGCTTAGCCTCTCACTACTCTATCATTATTACTATGGCAAATGTTCAAACAAGCTACATTTCTTAGCTCCACCAACTTAAACATTCACTGCTAGGATCCACTATGCTGCATACATGACATCAAATCATTTTCATTCTCTTCATATTAATTTCGTAATGAATAAGTTCCACTCAGAGACGGCTCCTTCTCCAGAACAGTTACTTTGTGGAACAGACTCCTGAGAGGATGCTTCCCTGATCACTATAATTGTAAACTCATAAAGTCTAGAGACAAATTATATCTATCCTGCATATCTTCCTAATATACATCTCCTCCCACCTTTACAACAATCCTACTTGAGCAGCTCTTGTGCTTTGTATTGAGTGAACTAAAGTAAAAAAAAAAAAAAATTATCATAAAATAGTCTCTTTAATTTAATCCTTTCAATATATTTGTTTCTTTAACAAGATTATGAAAAATAATTTTTTCCCTTTTTTGTTTATTCTTGTCATTTTTCAGCTTCTATAAATCTTTGTTAGCTTGTTTCAAGAAAACCAAAATCTATTAATAATGTTTGTGATTGTTTATGCTGAATATAATATTGTTATGATCTTACAGCAATACATTTTTAAATTTGACACTCCTTTTTAAATTTTATAGAATAAAACTTATACTTAGAATCAGAGAGAGGCAATTAAAATTTCTTGGACACAGAATGAGGAAGGAGGGTCTAGAAAACTTAACTCTCACAAATTATGAGTACAAAGTAAATATATCCTTCATTTTACTCATTAAAAAAACCCAAATAGTCTGGCTTCTATATTATGCCTACAAAAATCAATAGTTTTTTTTTATATAAGCAAGTTTTAGGAACAAAAAAAAAATATTTATATATTTTTGATTCTACTGTCTGTTCTCTTCAAAGCTATTTAGCACTGAAAGGTTTTTTATGAGTAATAACATATAGCCTAGATTAGCCTCAAAATGATAATGCTTGATTTTATTTGT